ATTTTCACTGCCATAGCATTTCTAAAACTGTCATTTGATTTTAAAATAACCTTCTCTGTCATAAAAACCGTAAGCAGACACAGAAAAATGCCAGCAGGCAGAGGTAAACTGAGTACATTCCAATGTTCCATCAACACATCTTGAAAATTCTTCATCATTCTCATTGGTGAGTGATTCCTGACCGACATCCAGAATGCTAGGTTTAGGGGCCAGCAAAGAAGAGAAACAGCAATATAACTTTCTAAATCCTGCCCCTTGGTAGAACTTATCCTCAGTGTTGATTTCATTATGATTTCTATTTTATAATTCTCTGACTAAATGAGAAGTTGATGAATCATTGCATAATTAAATAACCGTGGAACAGCAGGATGCATACTCTGGGCTCTCTCAAACAGGCGGGATGTGTTTTCATTTCATTTGGTTGATAGAGGTAAGGTGACTCTAAGGGGAAATTTTTTTCTTACATTTTTAAACATACAAGATATGTATAGGGAGAAATAAAGGACTAGCATCACAAACATCAACCTTTTTATTACCTTTTTAAACTTTTACAAACAATTAACCACAGAAGATGTACAATCTCTAACGTTCCTTTATATGTTTCCAGGATTTGAATTAACTGATGAATCATTTTCATCGAGGTCTGGGCTCTGTCTCTGGCAGAGACACCAAAGGACTCTTGTGGGAGGGCTTGGTTATTGTCCTTGCTATTAGTCTCAGAAAATTAGTTGAAGATCCAAAATACACTGATTCCCTTAATATCCCATGAGTACACCAACATATATATGTATATTTAAAACTTTTGTATTTTTTCAACAGTCACTCCTTTAGGTAGAAAAAAACTATAATCCTGTTACCACTTATAAAATAGTTCTTAAGCATTGTATAAGGCACAGACCAGCTGCTCTGTAATTGACAGTTCTTGTCCCTTTTCCTTCCACACGTCTTCCTCATGACTTTCACCACCACTGTCCTGTGTTGGGTTCAGGTGTGAGGAACTATGAAAATGAGCCCCCTATCCTGGGTTATCACTGATGGGCTCTCTAGTTGGAGTCCCTTCCCTCTAAATGTATTACTCTACACACTAACTTGACTTTACCTGGAATGTTTCTATCTGTCCCTATAGGCTTTAGAGCATTCCCTTCATCAGTTAGATGGTTTAATGTCCAGAGATGTTCACTATGGCCATCTGTAAACTTTAAATAAGACCACATCTGACACTGATCCTGAAGAGGCCCTGCTCTTTATGCTACTACTCCTGGAGATGTGCTTGCCCATTTATTTTATTTTATTTTATTCTTGATTTCTTTTTCTGTCGGCTTGTTGATAGTGTATAGAAATGCAATGATTTTTGTATGTTGATTTTATATCCTGCAACTTTACTGTATTTGTTAATTATTTCTAATAGTTTTTTTTTGTGGATTCTTCAGGGTTTTCTATGTATAGAATCATGTTGTCTGCAAAGAGTGACAGTTTTACTTCTTCCTTTCCAGTTTGGATCCTTTTTATTTCTTTTTCTTGCCTAATTTCTCTGGCTAGGACTTCCAAAACTATGTTGGATAAGAGTAACAAGAGTGGGCATCTTTGTCTTGTTCCTGATCTTGGAGAGATAGCTTTCAGTTTTTCACTGTTGAATGTGATGTTGGCTTTGGGTTTCTCATACATGCCTTTATTATGTTGAGGTACTTTCCTTCCATACACATTTTATGAAGAGTTTTTATCATAAATGGATATTGAATCTTGTCAGATGCTTTATCTGTGTCTATTGAGATGATCTTGTGATTTTTATTGTTCATTTTGTTAATGTGGTGTATCACATTGATTGATTTGCAGATATTGAACCATCCCTGCATCCCTGGAATAAATCCCACTTGATCATGGTGTATAATCCTTTTAATGTATTGTTGAATTCAATTTGCTAATATTTTGTTAAGGATTTTTGCATCCATGTTTATCAGCAACATGGATCTGTAATTTTCCTTTTTTGTGTTGTCCTTGTCTGGTTTTGGTATCAGGGTAATGTTGGCCTTGTAAAATGGGTTAATAAGCATCCCATCCTCTTCAATTTTTTGGAAGAGTTTGAGAAGAGTAGGTATTAAATCTTCTTGGAATGTTCGGTAGAATTCACCATAGAAGCTATCTGGTCCTGGGCTTTTGTAATTGGGGAGGTTTTTGATTACTGTTTCAATCTATTGCCTTGTGATTGGTCTATTCAGATTCTCTATTTCTTCTTGATTCAGTTTTGGGAGGTCGTATGAATCTAAGAATTTATCCATTTCTTCTAGGTTATCCACTTAGTTGGCACATAGCTTTTCACAGTATTCTCTTATAATCCTTCATATTAATATGGTATCTGAAGTAATTTCTCCTTTTTCATCTCTGACTTTATTTATTTGAGTCTTCCCTTTCTTTCCTAATGAGTCTAGCTAAGGGTTTGTCAATTTTGCTTATCTTTTCAAAGAACCAGCTCTTAATATCATTGATCCTTTCTATTGTCTTTTAGTGTCTATTTCATCTATTTTCACTCTGATTTTTATTATTTCCTTCCTTCTACTGACTTTGGGTTTTGGTCTTCTTTTCCTAATTCTTTTAGATAATGTGTTAGTTTATTTGAGATTTTCTTGTTTCTTAAGGTAGGCCTATATTATTATATACTTCCCTCTCGGTACCACTTTTGCTGCATCATATAAGTTTTGGTATGTTGTGTTTTCATTTTCATTTGTCTCTAGTCTTTTTTTTTTATTTCTCCATTGAACCAATGGTTGTTCAGTAGCATGCTCTTTACTCTCCACATATTTGTGACTTTTCTAGCTTTTGTCTTGTAGTTGATTTCTAGCTTTATACCATTGTGGTGATAAAAGATGCTTAATATGATTTCAGTCTTCCTAAATTTATTGAAGCTTGTTTTGTTTCCCAATATGTGGTCTATCTTTGAGAATGTTCTATGTGCACTTGAGAAGAATATGTGTTCTGGGGCTTTTGGAATGTTCTATATATATCTATTAAGTCCATCTGGTCTAGTGTTTCATTTAAGGCTGCTGCATCCTTGTTGACTTTCTGTCTGGATGATCTATCCATTGATGTAAGTGGGGTGTTAAGTGCCCTACTATTATTGTGTTGCTGTCAATTTCTCCCTTTAGATATGTTAATATTGCTTTATATACTTTGGTGCTCCTATGTTAGGTGCACATATATTAATACAAATTATGTCTTGTTGATGGAATGTCCCTTTTATCAATATATAATATCCATCTTTGTCTCTTGTTATCTTTTTTGCTTGAAGTCTGTTTTTTCTGATAAGTATAGCTACACCTGCTTTCTTTCCCTTGCCATTTGCTTAGAGTATCATCTTTGATCCCTTCACTCTGAGCCTATGTTTGTCTTTAGAGCTGAGATGGAGGCAGCATATTGTTGGGTCTTGTTTTTCAATCTATCCAGCCACTCCATGTCTCTTGATTGGAGAATTCAATCCATTTACATTTAGAGTGATTATTGATATATGAGGGCTTAATATTGCCATTTTGTCTTTTGTTTTCTGGTTGTTTTATATTTCCATTGTTTCTTTTTCCTTGAGTTTCTGACTGCCAGTTCAAGTTTGGTGGTTTTCTGTGTTGTTTTTCTGTTTCCTCTTTATTTATGTTTTGTGACTCTGCCCTGAGTTTTTGTTTTGTGGTTACCATGAGGTTTGTATAAAAGACCTCATGGATAGTCCTTTTTCTGATGATAGCATCTTATCTCCATTATCCTATGCAGATTCTGTCCTTTTCCTTTTCCCCTTCTTTGATTTTGTTGTCATCACCAAGTATTCCTTTTTGTATTGTGAATTTGTTACCAAATTGGAGTGGTTATGATTATTGTTGATGCTTGCTTTCCATTTAGCTTTTATGTTATAATTGTTTACTAACCTGTTCTAATATAGACTTGCAATTTTCTCATTCTATTTATCATCTTGCTCAAAGCTTTGTAAACTTTGCCTTTTTGTTTCAGGTAGGAGAGCTCCTTTCAACATTTCCTGTTGGCAGATCTAGTGGTGATGAAGTCCTTCAGCTTTTGTTTGTCTGGGAAAGCCTTTATTTCTCCTTCATATCTGAAGGATAACTTTACTGGATAGAGTATCTTTGGCTGATAGTTTTTGTCTTTCAATATTTTGAATATATCATTCTCCTCTCTCCTAGCCTGTAGAGTTTCTGCTGATAAATCCACTGATAGCCTAATGGAGGTTCCTTTGTAAGTTATATTTTCTGTCTGTCTACCCTTAATATTCTATCTTCATCATTGACTTTTGACAGTTTTAATATAATGTGCCTTGGAGAAAGTCTTTTTGCACTGAGATAAGTAGGAGTTGTATTAGCTTCATTTACTTGTGTATCCAGTTCTTTCCCCAGGTTAGCTTATGCTGTCACTGTAGTTGTGGGTGTCACTACCAGGGTCACAAGGCTGCAAGCACCTCTGCTGCTTCTGGGGTCACCTGGGTCTCATGTTCCCCCTCTGGCTCTCCATGGGCTTTGGTGCTGCTGCCACATGTACCACCTGTGCTGCTGCTCCTGGGTTATCTGGGAGTGCTGGCAGCACCACTTCCAGGGGCGTTGGGTTCATGAGTGTTGCTGCCACTGCCAGTGGCCCAGGGTCTTGTATGCAGTCCCTAATACTGGTAGCGCCAGTGTTGGGGGTGCCTCTTCTGGGGGCTGGGTCGCAGGTAGTAATGTGTCTCCTGAAGCCTCAGATCTCAGGTGCCACCTGCCACTGCTGGGGGAGTGGTAGGAGTTGATCCATGATTGCCATTGCTGCCCCTGCAGCCTCTGGTCTCTGGCTCCAGTGTGCTTTTTGAAACCTCGCCTCAGGGCACCACTGCCACTGCCAGGGAGTATCTGCATTTTGGATCGCTCACTGCTGGGGGAAGGGGTTGCTTCCCTACTTCCACTGCCTCCCAGAAGTCCAGTCCACCCACCTTCAGATGTATAGACGTTTGGATCTCTCAGGCATTCTGGTATGTTGTACAGGGAGTCCTTTGTTGGTCAATGTATGTCCTACTGATTGTAACTTAGGAGGGAGAGACAAAGGAAACAACTCACTCTGCCATGACACTGATGTCACCTCTTTTTAATTTAAAAAAACTTTTATCTTTATGCCAGGTATTCATAACAAAAATGTCTTCCGATTCTCCACTTTGAGTTGATAAGAGCCAACATGGGTAGAAAGTTGTTACTGATTTTTGAAAACAGATTACCACCACTGCTTCCTCACATTGCCTCCCTCCCCTCCAAAAGATTCTGTTTAGCTAATTTATAAAATCACCTGTTTTCCAGGTAGGTTACATTTACCAAAACCATTTAAATTGTTCTTCATTTGTTAATGACAAGACAGGGCCAGAAATTGGCAAGGTGAGGATGGAAATTGAAAATCAATCTCCTACAAAAATTATTTTAAGAGGAAAGTGTTTTCCTTTAAAAACTTAGTCTCTCATTACCCTTTAAAAGCTAGGAACTTTGGATTGTCTGTTAAACATTCTCCTGATGTTGGGTAAAGTAGGAAGACCTGTTCCAACTTGTCAAGAGAATATGTGCCCTTACATAAGCAGTTCATTCCAGTGCCTGAAATTTGTTTATGTAGAGTCAAAGCATACATAATTTAATTTCTAATAGGTATATTTTAAAGTTGCCTTCAGTTAAGTAAGTGTGCTTAAACATAGAACTTGGCTATGTACCTTTTGTAGTCTGTTCTTATGTGAAAGTCGTAAAATTAGAATGAGTTATGAGCACATGTTTGACAAGAATACCTTTAGAATATTACTAGTGATCAATATGCTTTTAGAATGGCCTACACAACCTATGTTCTTAGGCCAGGAGAGTCTTGCATATTTCATGTCGTTTTTTAACATTTGTGTGCTATATATTGTTTGGTGTCTTATGATACCTAGGTAAAGTGCTGAAATTTTTTACAGTAAAACAGTTAGCATTTTGTCTATTCTGCAGAAAACAAGCATCAACCTTTTGAAAAACAATATGGGAACATTTGATGACTAGAGGACTCCTTAGGTCAGGGGCATATAACTAACCATTTTTATTCAATGAACACTTATTACTGTCTTCTGTGTGCAAAGCACTGTGTTGACTGTAAGAGTTACAGAGATAAATTAAATACTACCCTTGAGCTCAAGCTGATTATAGGTTAGTAGAAGAAATAAGAAGAACTAACTATGAGGTAAAACAGAAGGACTCTATAGAGGTACAAATTTCCATGGAAACAATGAGAGAGATGCTATTAATTCCATCTGTAATGCTACCCAAAGCTACAAGGAGCCTGCATTTGAATTAAATTTGTGCCCCTCTCTTTGCAGCCATCTCCAGCTTGGGGAGGTGGAAAAGGAGAGTACCACATTTATCTTGTCTTCTTCCACCCAACAGACTTCTCATCTTGTTTCCATCCAAGTTTCCTGTCCTGTACAGCTAGTTCTAAAGAACTAATTTTGTACATCTGAAATTCCTTGCTAAACTGGACACATGATGTAGAGGATAAGATAGGTCTTAAACTTTTTGTACTTTGTGGGTGAGACAATGAATGCCTTTGCCAGTCAGCCAAGAGTACGTCAGTTTTTTTTAAAATAATTCTTGAAATAAATATAAGCATATTTAAAATTCATGATTTTGACGAAAGCACTTAGATTTTTAACTTGAGATGACAAGTTAACGTCACATCCATCTACTGTGAAGTTAAAAGTGACAGAAGAGTGATGAACATGGATATGTTCCCATGACCAAGATCTCAAGAATGATGTCATTTTGTTCATCACTCTAAAAGGCACACCCTAGGTTTGCTAGCTACACAAACTCTCTGCCCCGTTACACTTCAGTGTCTTCTACTTCCCTGATCACCTGTTCACCCTTATTACTGTCCTGTTTTATTATCATTATTTAGAGGTGTAAAAGAAGGCAAAATTAAAACCAAATAAATAAGCATAGAGACGTAGGTGAACCTGGGCTTGGAGTGTGGGTGCAGCACAGGGGGAGGAGGCCACATTTTCAGCCATTTATTTGTGGAGATGACAGGCTTCTAGGTTTTTTATGTTCTGTGTCTTATCTAATATAGTCACGTGCCACATAACAACGTTTCAGTCAACAAAAGACAGCATATACAGGGTTGTTCCATAAGATTATAATGGAGCTAAAAAATTCCTATCACATAGTAATGTCATAGCCATCGTAATGTTGTAGTGCAATACAGCACTCACATATTTGTGGTAATGCTGGTGTAAACAAACCTACTGAGCTGCCAGTCGTATAAAAGTATAGCACAAACAATTATGTACAGTACATAATACTTGATAATAAATGATTATGTTACTGGTTTATATATTTACTATACAACACAGGCATACCTTGGAGATATTGCAGGTTCGGTTCCAGACCACCGCAGTAAAATGAATATTGCAATAAAACAAGTCACATGCGTTTTTTGGTTTCCAAGTGCATGTGAAAGTTATGTTTACACTATACCATAGTCTATTAAGTGTGCAATAGTATCATGTGTAAAAAAAGGTACATACCTAAGCTAAATACTTTATGGCTAGAAAATGCTAACAATCATTGAGCCTTCAGCGAATCTTAATCTTTTTGCTGGTGGAGGGTCTTGCCTCAGTGTTGATGGCTGCTGACTGATCAGGATGGGGGTGGTTGCTGAAGGTTGGGGTGGCTGTGGCAATTTCTTAAAACAAGATGAGAATGAAATATGCTGCATCAATTGACTCTTCCTTTCAGGAATGATTTCTCTGCAGGGTGCAATGCTGTTTGATAGTGTTTTATCCACAGTAGAACTGCTTTCAAAATAGGAGCCAATCCTCTCAAACCCTGCCACTGCTTCGTCAACTAAGTTTGTGTAATATTCTAATCCTTTTTTGTCATTTCAACAACCCTCACAGCATCTTTACCGGGAGTAGTTTCCATCTCAGGAAACCACTTTCTTTGCTCATCCATAAGAAGCAACTCCTCATCTGTTAAAGTTTTATCATGAGCTTGCAGCAATTCAGTCACATCTGGAGGCATTACTTCTAATTCTGGTTCTCTTGCTGTTTCCACCCCATCTGCAGTTACTTCCTCCAATGAAGTCTTGAACCCCTCAAAGTCATCCATGAGTATTGGAATCAACTTCTTCCAAACTCCTGTTCATGTTGATATTTTGACCTCTTCCCATGAATCATGAATATTCTTAATGGCATCTAGAATGGTGAATTCTTTCCAGGAGGTTTTCAATTGACTTTGCCCAGATCCATCAGAGGAATCACTATCTATGGAAACTGTAGCCTTATGAAATGTATTTCTTAAATGTATTTCTTAAATAAGACTTGAAAGTCAAAATTACTCCTTGATCCATGGGTGCAGAATGGATGTTGCCTTAGTGGGTAGGAAAACAACACTCATCTCGTTATATATCTCCATCAGAGCTCTTAAGTGAATAGGTGCATTGTCAATGAGCAGTAATATTTTGAAACGAATCTTTTTTTCTGAGCAGTAGGTCTCAGTAGTGGGCTTAAAATATTCAGTAAACCATGTTGTAAACAGATGTGCTGTCATCCAGGCTTTGTTGTTCCATTTATAGAGCAGAGGCAGAGTAGATTTAGCATCATTCTTAGGGGCCCTAGGATTTTCAAAATGGTAAACAAGCATGGACTTCACCTTAAAGTCACCAGCTGCATTAGCCCCTAACAAGAGAGTCAGCCTGTCCTTTGAAGTTTTAAGTCAGGCATTGAATTCTCCTCTCTAGCTATGAAAGTCCTAGATGGCATCTTCTTCCAATAGAAGGCTGCTTTGTCTAAATTGAAAAATCTGTTGTTTAGTGTAGCCACCTTCACTAATTATCTTAGCTAGATCTTCTGGATAACTTGCTGCAGCTTCTACATCAGCACTTGATGCTTCATCTTGTACTTTTATGTTATGGAGATGGCTTCTTTCCTTAAACCTCATAAACCAACCTCTGCTAGCTTCAAACTTTTCTTCTGCAGCCTCCTCACCTCTCTCAGGCTTCACAGAATTGAAGAGAGTTAAGGCCTTGCTCTGGATTAGGCTTTGGCTTAAGGGAATGTTGTGGCTGGTTTGATCTATCCAGACCACTAAAACTTTCTCTATACCAGCAATAAGGCTGTTTTGCTTTCTTATCATTTGTGTGTTCACTGGAGTAGCACTTTTAATTTCCTTCAAGAACTTTTCCTTTGCACTCACAACTTGGCCAACTGTTTTGGGCCTATCTTCACTTTTAACATGCCTTCCTCACTAAGCTTAATCATTTCTAGCTTTTGATTTAAAGTGAGAGACATGCAATTCTTCCTTTCACTTGAACACTTAGAGGGCTTTATAGGGTTATTAACTGGCCTAATTTCAATATTGTGCATCATGGAATAGGGCTGAGGAGAGGGAGAGAGGTGGGAAATGGCTGGTTGGTGGAGCAGTCACAACACACACAACATTTATCGATTAAGGTTGCCATCTTATATGGGCACAGTTTGTGGCACCCTAAAACAATTACAATTGTAGCATCAAAGATCACTGATCAGATCACTATAACAAGTAAAATAATGAAAAAGTTTGAAATATTGCAAGAATCACCAAAATGTGACACAAACATGAAGTGAGAAAATGCTGTTGGAAAAATGGTGCCAATAGACTTGCTTGACACAGGGTTGCCACAAACCTTCAATTTGTAAAAAACTCAACAAAGTATAGTGCAATAAAATGAGATATGCCTATACTTTTTATCATTATTTTAAAGTGTACTCTTCCCACTTCATAAACAAATTTTACTATGAAACAGTATGCCATGTTACACTGGCAGCAGCCTCATATATCTCATATTTACCACGTCTCTTGATTGCATCATTTCCTCTTCTTCTTGATTTAATATCATGTTTTGTTCATCATGGCCCCTAAGCATACAAAATCCACTGCTGATGTTGCCAGTAAGGGGCGACATCGAGTGACTGACCTGGAAACTAAATTAAAAGTGACTAAGGACTGTGAAAGTGTAAAATCAGTGATGGTTATTGCTCACCGATCAGGCATGTCCCATTCTACCATAGCTATGATCTTGAAGAACAAGAACAAAGTGAGGGAAGCTGGTAAAGGATCTGCTTCACTGAAGGCAAGGAGATTAACAAAAATTTGAGAAGGACCTATATCAGACATGGAGAAACTTCTAATGACCTAGACTGAAGACCAGACACAGAAGCGTATCCCTCTCAGCACCATGACAATCATGGCCAAAGCAGTAAGTTTCTTTGTGGTATTGAAAGAAAAGGCTGGACTTGCCTACAATGTTGAATTTATTTCTAGCTCTGCGTAGTTTAAAGATTCAAGAAATCATTTATTACAAAATGTGAAAGTGAGTGGTGAGTCTACAAATGCTAATGTGAAGGCTGCCAAAGGATTTTTGGAAACTCTAGATAACTGATTCTGGAGAAAAATTGCTTGCCAGGGCCAAAATTCAATATGGATGAAACCTCCCTATTCTGGAAATGGATGATGCCTGAAAGGGCTTTCATCCATAAGGAGGTCCAGTTAATTCCAGGTTTCAAGGCTTTTAAGCACAGGATAACAGTCTTGCTTGGGGGCAATGTTGCAGGCTACAAATTGAAACTCTTTGTGATCTTGCACAGGGAGAACTCCAGGGCCTTCAAGCTTGTCAATAAGCACATGCTGCCAGTGTACTACAGGAGCAATAGGTGTCGTGGATGATTCGGCTCCTCTTCCAAGATACCTTCCTGAATTGCTATGCCAGAGAAATGAAGTACTGTTGGAGAATAACATACCTTTCAAGATTTTGCTTATTGTTGATAATGCTCCTGGACATCTTCCTTTCAGTGGTGGTCTTTATCCCAAAATCAAAGCGGTGTTTGCCCCTCCAAATACCACCTTTTTGATCCAACCAATGGATCAAGGAGGTACAGCAGCTTTGAAGGCCTACTACCTGAGGAGGACCTTTGCCCAGGTTATTGCTGCAACTGAGGAAGACACTGAAAAGACACTAATGCAAGTCAGGAAGGATTACAACATCAATGACTGCATCAAGAGCCTTGCTTGGGCTGTGGGGTGATGTCACCAAGGAGTGTATGAATGGCAACTGGAAGAAGACACTCAAGACGTTGGTCCATGACTTCAAAGGTTTTGCCAAGGATGTGGAGGTTGAAATAATCAACAAGGCTGTGGTTGAGAAGGCCAACAACTTTAACCTGGGTGTGGGTGAGCGTGACATTGGGGAGCTTCTGGAGGTGGTTCCTGAGGAATTGACTAATAAGGAGTTGTTGGGATTGGCATAGGAAGACTTAGCTGAAGAAGAGGCAAGAGAAAAGGAAACGGCAAGAGAAGAAAAAGAACCTCCAAGAAAACTCACAGTGAAGAGTTTAGCAGAAGCTTTTGCACACCCAACAAGCTCCTTGAAAAGTTTGAAAACATGGACTCCAACACTGAAAGGTTTTCATTAATAGAGAGGAATGTTCATGGTATATTATTTGCTTACAAGCAAATCTATGATAAAAAAAAAAAAAAAAGAAACAAACAAAGCAGGGCCGGCCCTGTGGCTTGGTGGTTAAGTGCGCGCGCTACAATGCTGGTGGCCCGGGTTCAGATCCCGGGTGCGCATCGAGGCACCACTTCTCCGTCCATCCTGAGGCCGAGTCCCACATACAGCAACTAGAAGGATGTGCAGCTATGACATACAACTATCTACTGGGGCTTTGGGGGGGGGGAAAAAAAGAAACAAACAAAGCAAACCACGTGGACATACTTCTGAAAAGAGTGACACTTCCTCAAGAAGAGCCTCAGGCAGGTCCTTCAGGAGATATTCCAGAAGAAAGCATTGTTATCATAGGAGATGACAACTCCATGGGTGTTATTGGCCCTGAAGACCTTCCAGTGGGACAAGATGTGGAGGCAGAAGACAGTGATATTGATGATCCTGATCCTGTGTAGGCCTAGGCTAATGTGTGTGTGTCTTAGTTTTTAACAAAAAATTTTAAAAAGTAAAAAAATAAAATTGAAAATAGAAAAAGGCTTATAGAATAAGCATATAAAGAAAGAAAATATTTTTGTACAGTTGTACAATGTGTTTCTGTTTTAAGTGTGATTACAAGAGTCAAAAACTGTAAAAAAATTAAAGTTTATAAAGTAAAAATGTTACAGTAAGCTAAAGTTAATTTATTGAAGAAAGATTTTTTAATAAATGCAGTGTAGCCTAAGTATACAGTGTGTATAAAGTCTACAATAGTGTGCAGTAATGTCCTA